GACCCAACCCACCGGCCCGCAGCTCCCCGGCCCGCCCGGTGCCGGACCGCCCCGGACCCTCCCGCCCGCTCACCGCTTCCCCACGGAGCCGCGGGCCGCGCTGCTGCCGGGCTCGGTCCCCTTGCGGGCGGCGCTGGGCCGGGCGGCGGGGTCCGCGTTCTGCGAGGCCATCGCAGCGCTACTTAGCCCCGCCCGCGCTCCCGCGGCCGCTCGCTCCCGCTCCGGCGTTTGAAACGGACCTCCGCCTCCTCAGCCAATCAGCGGCCCGTTTTGTTTCGATCCAGCCAATTGCGGCTCGACGGGGGCGGCCAGGCAACCGGCCTCCGGCTCCATCGGCCTCAGGATTGGCCCGGTGGAATGTCAATTACCCGGGATTGGCTGTGACGGTGGCCGAGGCCGAGAAGGGCGGGGCAGGGCTCTTAAAGGGCCAGTAACCAGCAGTTCTGGGGGCAGCCCCAGCCGAGCGATACGGTGCCCAGACAAGACCAAGGAGGAGTCCGGGGGCACCTTACAGCCGAACAGATTGATGGGGGCAGAAGATGTCGTGGGTAAAACCCCACTTCTGCAGCTGCAGGGAGTGAAGGGGACAGAGGCAGGCATTCTGTACTGACAGTGAAGCTTCTGCCCCCATCAATCTGTTTGTCTGTATGGTGCCCCCAGACTCCTTGTTGTTTTTGTAGGTACAGACTAACCCGGCTACCCCCGACACTTGGTGACCAGACAGCAATCGGGACAGGGGAGTAAGGGGGGGGGTAATAGGAGCCTATATAAGAAAAAGCCCCAAATGTTGGGACTGTCCCTATAAAATCAGGACAGCTGGTCACCCTACCTAGGGACCAGGGCAGACGTGCCCAGCCGCTGGGAGAGGGTCAAGCCAGCCCGGGGTTCCGCATTGCAGAGCCGGCCTGCTCCACCCGGCCTAGGCAGCTGCACAGGCCTTTGCACCCACAGCCTCCCCCACCCTGTGCAGCCAGCCTAGCCCAGCCCTGGGGAACACACACGTGTAACAAGCAGAACACCATGTGCTGCGTGCCAGGGAGCCCGGACTCTGGGGCACAAGCAGCTTGTTTTCCAGGGCAGCCCTTAAGTTCTCTATTCGGTAGCAAGCTCCACGAGGCAGAGACCCCCCACGCTGCCTGGGCAGGGACGAGGGTGACCAGACAGCAAATGTGAAAAATCGGGGGGGGGGGGGGGAGGTAATAGGAGCCTATATAAGAAAAAGACCCCAAAAATCAGGACTGTCCCTATAAAATCAGAACATATGGTGACCCTAGCAAGGACCTGCAGGAGAGCTCGGTGTAGCTGAAAGCTTATCTCTCTCCCCTCCAACTAAAGATGTAACTTACCCAGCTTGGCTCTGTGGAGCAACGTGCAGGTTGGGGTGCTGGATAAGTCATCACTTCTGTCTGTAAAATCACAGCTCCACAGAGGAAGCAGGGCCCAGCTTTAATGATAGCAGCTGATGGATGCCAGCAGGCTGGCTGTGGCCAAAGCACTGAGGAATATGGCAGCACAGGAATTCAAACTCTAGACCCTCTGCCCTATCAGCAATGGGAGCACTACTAAAGAACCTTCTCCATAAGGAGGCAGGAGTAGCAGCTCAAATGTCCTCTTTCCCTAGCCCCAAGAAGTGGGAGAAACTCTCACTCCTTCCCTCCTTAGCTCTGTATAAGGAACAGCTCCATATCCCTCTTTCCCACTACAGCTATTTCCCCCCACGGTAACTGCCTTTGCATGGGCACAGCGGGTACTGGCAGCAGCATTTATTACAAATCTGTTTGTACACAGAGGATCTGAAACAGGAAGTTCACACAAATAGAAAAGTGCAGCTCTGAAGAGAAGCAGGAAGCAGCCAGTGACTTTGTTTACTGCCAGCCACCACTGACTAAGGGGAATGGCCCAAACAACTCTCAGGAGGTTTAATCACAGCTCTGCACTGCTGTTCCCTGTGGGCAGCATTCTGGTACCTGGGCCAACAAAAGCACAAGCCCCAACATGTCCAGTGAAACACAAAGGAAGGAAAGATAGGGAAACTCCCGTGAGAGTCCATGTTGTGACAGGCTGTGACTGGGCGCCACTTGGCAGGGAGGGTGAGGTTTCTTATGTTTCATGGGTTCCCTCTGGAGGCTGTGGGTCCCCTTCATGGCGAAGTGTCTCCATATATTTCTGCATCTTTTCAGTCATCCATGCAGGTGGGATAAAAGGTTTTAGTTCCTCCAGCTTCAAATCAGGAGAGCCCCTGGTGAGCAAGTGGGAGACAGGAGTGAGCATGTGGGGAGGGACACAGACACTGTCTGGTCACAGTTTCAGGAAAACTCCGCACCCACGACTGAGGTAAGATTGTCCAGACAGCAGGGCTCCCAGGAGAAGTCTGATTTTCAGGAGAGTGCAGCATGGTGGGCACACACTGGGTGCTGAGAAGTCTCATCCCAGTCGTGGGTGCTGAGATCATCGGTAGAGCACAATACTAGGCAGGACCCACTCTGCCTCCTGACCTTGCTCGCTCTCTTGCGCCCTGTGGGTATGACGACTCCCCCATCCCCTCCCCCAGTCATTTCTTGTTTTATAAGGGGAGAGGGCAGGGATTTCAGCACAGCTGAAGTCTTGGTTCCTTGCCTCACCTGTAATCATCACTGGCTGCCAGATCCTGAATATCCTCCTCTATGAGGAGGTACGCCTGCAGCAATTGGGAAACGAGAGATGGTTAGGAGCCATTCGGGTTGAACATACACAGGCTAAGAAGATTTTCCATTTGGCTACTCAGAAATGAGATCTGCTGGCATGAAGTAGCGGCGCTAGCTTTGTAAATAGCACCCATCCCCCAATACCTCAAAGAAACCAGGTCAGGTGTGAGCAGAATTGCTCCTGAGAGTCCAGGGGAAGTGGTTTTCTGTATCTCACGGTTCCACCTTGCTCACTCTTACAAACCCTCATCATCATAACAGTCGCATCAAAGCGGATGACTTCCTAGGCTGAAGCAACAGCTGCCAAATCTCAGCCCCAAGTGACGAGGTGCAGAGAGCGGCCTGCCAGACGGTGCTCTGAAGGGGCTGCAGTATGGACGAGCAAACCCGGGCCCCTGGAATCCGTTGCTTACTACACTGGCTTCTGCTTATTTGCACACTTAATTCTGAACCAGTTTACTTTACGATTCTCTCCCCGTCCCCATCAAGATCCCAGGCTGTGGCAGGAGCCAGGCCTGGCCACACTCACCATCTTGCCCCCTGTGGCCCTCATGTGCTGCTGTTCTGCCAGCCAGTGCTTGTCTTGAGGATCAGCCGCATACTGCAACAGAGCAGCAAGGTGAGAACACCACAAGCGACATACCAACATCTGTAGCCATCATCATGGGGCAACTTCTGGGTGTGGACTCAGAGCCCAGGCCCGTCCTCCTCTGTGGAAACCCAGGGGTAACCCCATGTCTCCCAGTAAGAGATCGTCTATGAATGAGGACTCAGTCCCATCCTGCTTACTCCTCAAAGCAAAGCCTCCTGTGCCAGGCAAATTCATCACCCCACGGGAAGCAAGTCTAGTGTATTACATTAGCTTTAACAGCATTTTTAAATCTATTGTGAGGTAACATCCCTGCCCCAGGAGACGACAAGCAACGTCAGCAGGGTGTGAGAGGGGACAGAACATACAAGCACAAGGATCTATTCCCCACCCCCGTCACAAGCAAGTTCTGAGCAAACCCCAAAAAGGGAAGCATTGTGCTGAGGTTTCTGACCTTAAAGAGATGGGGGTGTTTGATGTAGAGTCGCCCTCTGGTTCCTCCCATTCCAAGAGCCCTGAAACAGGAACATGGTGGGGGAAGGGGGGTTAGGCCTGTGCACAGGGGCAGCTGAAGTGTGATGTATGGAGGCTTCCTTCCGTCCCCAGAGCCCGTGCCCTTCCCACGCTGCTTCAGAGTGCAGAGATATTTAACTAGTGAGAGGAGAACCATGGGCTCCAGCCCCAGAGACAGTGCCGCTGCCCCCTTCTTCCCCTCACCCAGAACTACAGGGCACAGAGCCAGCACCCCACAGGACGATTCCTTACTTGTTTGCTCGAGATCCCAGCACAAAGGTTGTGGACTCAGTCAGCCGGGCTGGATCCCACTACAGAGCGATTGGGAAAGGGGCAGAGATTAGAAACCCAACAGATCCAGATCCAGCACCCCACCTTTGAGCCTCAGATTTCTGTGGCAAACTCTTGCAGGGGCCCCAGTGGCTCTGGTGGGGCTGACAAGCTGCAGGCTCGTGGGCTCCATGGAGGGGAAAATACGCCTCATACCTTGACTGATCGAACAGGCAGTGGAGTTTCTCTGGCCTTCCCAGCAGAACGTGCTGCCCTGGGACAGATCATCCATAGCCAGGAGGAGTCTATGTCCTCCAAGCTGCTGGGCTGCACCGGGGAGTGGGTAGGGAGGCAGGAGATGAGGGCCTCCACCCAGCCCATTGCTCTCCCTACTTTGCCACTGCAGGGAGGTGGCAGAGCTGGGTAAAGCCTGGCCTAGAATCAGCCTCTGTTCCTGTGGGTGGCAGGACGATCACTGCCAGAGGCAATGGGGAGAAGGGAGGCTGCGTGGAGCACTACTGAGCCAAGCCCAGCGAAAGGCAGCCAGCTGCACACTGTACCTTCGGTCCCTCCCGGCGCACTGGCTCACAGGATTTGAGCTTCCACCTGACGGGGAAAACACAGAAGAGGCCTGAATTCCCAGAGGACTCATGCCAAGAAGCCACAAAAGAATTTAAATCAACACTGGATAAAAAGCACTAGGAAAGGGCCTGTCAGGAGCAGACCCCATGGGGAGGGCTGGTCATCTTGCCAGCCCTAGATTTTACTAATCCAAGCTGCTTACAGCCTGAAACGATTCTGCTCTCCTGATCAGGACATACATCCCCTCCCCCTCTCCAGACAGACAGAGCACCCCTGAATATCCCTCCGCCCCCACCCCCCCATTTCTCTGGTGCTGGATCCTCTTCCGCATCAACCCCTCCTCTCTGAGTCCCACAAGACTCATGGCCTCTGCTCTCTTGGATGGCCCCTGGCTCCTCTGATCCTGCCTTGAACCTTACCCTGACAATACTCAGCCACACATATTTCAGGCCCTTCAGTGACCCTCCCCCCGGCCTCACTGACCAGGCTCATTTAGCTGAAGAAAAGCTGTGCAGGTCTCACACAGAGAAATGCTTCTCTTAGCCAGGAGGCGCCCCCAAGTTGAGCTCCAGACACTCCTCTTCCTTCTTGACTCAGACCTTCCATTTCCCTCCAGAGGCCCTACCCTGAATGCCACGCTTGGCCATGAGTTTTCCTCTACATCCCACATGGCTGAAAATCTGTCATTGCCACCTGCGTGGCTCACTGCCCCTATGTGCAGCTGCCTTGACTTGGCCCAAATCCTACACAGGTCTCCATCTTCTCGGCAGATCTTCGTCACCTCTGTTACTGCAATTTCCTTCTCTATGGCTTCTGAGTCCCTGACCTCCTGTCTCCAGCACATGCACTATGCTTCTGCCTTCTCACTGGCAGGGAGTGGGGCCACAGCACTCCCATCTATAGGTTCCTCATTCGCTTGTTTGAGCTTGCATTTAAACCCCTTCGTGGCCAGGCTCCAGCCGACCACGTGTGTCTTCACTCCCCTCGCCTGAGCCTCCTGTTTGCCCAAATGCACAATCTCACCACAGCCAAAAACCTTCTGCCCTGCAGCTCTCGTGTTTGGAACTGCCTCCCTGTAGGGCTTGGACTCAGAGAGAGGACGAGTCAACCTCAGCTGAAAGCATCTTGCCCACTTGGCAATCCATTTGTGAGAAACACACCAGGAGAAAGATAGCTGGGCTGCCCTACCCTTCCTCAGCCAGCCTTGTGTCTCCCCTTTTATCTCCACACTTACGTGGCCACACCTGGGGCTCCACGATCATTCAGCAGGCTCTGCCCTGGAGGTCGCCCCTTCCTCTGCAAGAGAGAAATCCCTCATTTGCTCACTCATCCAGCACTCACCTGAGAAGCACACGTGCATTCCCTGCTGGGAAGGCGGCTCTCCCAACCACATGATGAAACGGTTAAGAGCAGCTATAAGAAATGCTGAGACTGGGCAAAAGGAGCTAGCATTGCTGAGTAGAGTGGGGGCCACAGGCTGCCCTGGAGGCTGCCCCCTTCCTAACCCTCTCTCAGGGATGGGGAGGGAGCAGCCAGTGAGGCCTGCACGAGAAACGAGGGCCAAGCTTCCCCATGAGGCAGTGTGTCGGGGTGGAGTCCTTGCATGGTCCTTACCTTTTTGGGAACAGGGCTTCCTCGCCGACTCGATTCCTCTTCCATCTGCCGGGCACGCTGGCAAAGAAATTGGTGATGGAATGAACACAGCCCTTCTCCCTCTCCAGTCTCTCTCATGGAAGCACTCTAGCCACCCAGACAACTACCCTCTTCTCCGTTGCACCTAGAAATGCGTGCCACTCAAGCAGGTGGAGCCACCCCAGCCTGATCCTTAGAGATGGGCACATGGGGTTCTACCTGCCCAAGGCAGAGACCAGGTCTGGGCCCCTCACTGCTCTGTCCAAGTCCTCTCCTCTCCCAGCCTTCACTCTCCCCAATTCCATTTCCTCATCGGAAGGACTGACAGAGAGGCAAGAAATCCACTTACACAGAGGTCTCCTCTGCAGCCAGGTGGCTTTACAAAGGACAGACTGGCTAGGAGATCCCTGCTCCACCCCCTTACAGGTTCTGGTTCCATTTCTTGATCATCACTATCAGCAGATAAGAATCGAATACTGCTATGGGTCTCTCCTAGCTTCTGCCAAGCCACTGCTACAGAAAAAGCAATTAGAAGCCCAACCCCAGACTCCCAGCCCAGGTCCCTGAAGCTCAGCTCTACCTTTGGCACTGACTGTTCGTGGATCAGTCTGGGTATCACCTTCTTGCCATCAGAGAACAGCAGCTTAGCCTGTGGGGAGAGAGGAAAGGGTTATCTGCCTCCAGGAAGCTGCTGTACTTCAGGGCCCCAAGAGGACCAGGAAGGAGGCTAGCTGTGGGACAGGTTCTCTCCCCAAGAGGCATTCACAGATTAATTTGATTCCTATAACAGCTTTTACACGCGGCATATCTGGCTCAGATCACTGGACTAACATGAACGCAGAGTCACAAAGGCCAGAAGGGACCTGGCTGATCATCTAGTTTGATACTGCCCCGACCCCCCAAATAACACAGGCCAGAGAACTTCCCTGAATTAATTCCTGTTTGAACTGGAGCAGATCTTCCAGAAAAACACACACGTATGATTTAAAAATGTCTAGTGATGGAGAATCCACCATGACCCTTGGTACATTGTCACAATAGTGAATTACTCTCGCTGTTAATAATTTGCACCCTATTTCCAGTCTGAATTGGTCTTGCTTCAACTTCCAGCCGTTGGATTGTGTTAGACTTTCACCTGCTAGACCAGGGGTGGGCAAGCTACGGACCGCGGCACCCTCCTGCACGGCCCCTGAGCTCCTGGCCCGGGAGGCTAGCCCCTGGCCCCTCCCCTGCTCTTCCCCTCCCCCACAGCCTCAGCGCACCGTGCCACTGGCGCAATGCTCTGGGCAGCGGGGTTGCAAGCTCCTGGGGCAGCGCAGCTGTAGAGCCCAGCCACCCCGGTGCTCTGTGCTGTGCGGTGGACTGGCTGGCTCCAGCCAGGTGGCATGGTTGTAGCGCTGCCAGCCACTGGTGCTCCAGGCAGCACAGTAAGGAGGCAGGGAGCAGGTGGGGTTGGATAGAGGGCAGGGGGAATTTGGGGGTGGCGGTCAGGGGGTGTGGGATAGGGGTCGGGGCGGTCAGGAGGGGCGGGCGGGGGGGGGGGGGGGTTGGAATGGGTCAGGAGTCCTGAGGGGGCCGGGAGTGGATAGGAGGTGGGGGCCAGGCCACGCCTGGCTGTTTAGGAAGGCACAGCGAGTGACCAGAGAGGACCCTAACCGACCCTCCATACAATTTCCAAAACCCGATGCGGCCCTCAGGCCAAAAAGTGTGCCCGCCCCTGTGCTAGACTGAAAAGTCCCCATCAAATTTCTGTGCCCCAGTTGGGTACTTATACACTGGGCTCAAGTCACCCCTTAACCTTCTCTTTAAGCTAAATAAATGGAGCTCCTTGAAGGCAGGTTTTCCAATCCCTTAATCATTCCCATAGTTCAAATCTGGCTGAGGAAAGGCGAAGCTGATCATTCACTAGGAGTTTGCAGCGCCTCTCTATTAACGAGCAGAAAATTGTGAAATTCAATTAAGGTTTATTTACTTCAATTTAAGATGAGAGACGCCTCTCCCGGAATGTAGGTGCCCCAACAGATCATTAGTATTACAACCAAACCCCAGCAGCATTAGAATAATCTTGCAGACAGGAGCTCAGCCAGTTAGCCACCTACACAATGGGCTCCTCCCTGCCACTTCCTCATTCTGAGCCGCAAAACCTCAGCCCCTCCAAACCTGCATCAAACAGAGGACTGGGCACTGTGCCCAGGTCACCACATTTGGGTATTTCAGCCCAGGAAGAGCAAGTTCCAGAGTCCTGGGGCCCTCACAGAGGAGTGCCCTGCCAGCCACCCTCTCTGTTCTACAACTAAGGGATCCAATTTGAGTGCCTCTCCAACAGAGGCAGTGGAGGCCTGGCCAGGGAGAGAGGTGTTGATCTCTGAGGTAAGGCCAGTCCCAGGCTATTTAGGGCTGCAGAAACCAATGGGCAGCCAGTGCCGATCCCGGCGCATGGGGTCATGTGCTCCCAGAGAAGTGCCCCGCTCAGTAAGCGAGTGCTGCGTTCTGCACCAGCGCCAGACTCTGGCTGGCCGTAAGGGGCAGCCCCATGCAGAGCACACGGCAATAGTCTGACCTGCAGGTGCCCCAGGCCTGGAGAACAGTGTCACGGTTGGGACGGGAAAGGGAAGGTCCCAACCTCCAGGCCAGGCACGGCTGGTGTAACGCTGACTGGGTTATAGCAGTGATGGGATCATCCCAACGCTGCTGGGGGCCTAGAATCACCCCTGAAATTCCTTGTCAGTTGGCTTTGCATCAGCCAGAACTAGGGAAAGGAGAAGCAGCTCAGAGCTGGCTCCATACCCCTGGCTCCTCATCCAGGTCATGCTTATGAGGCCAACATCACCACAGTGTGCATGAGCTGGAGAAGAGCATGAAGTTCCTTCCACCAGAGCCCTCTGCTGGCTGATCCATACAACCAGCTCTCCCTAGGTCAGGGATACTCAGACCTCAGTGGTTCAGGAGCCAAATTAGCGATCAACATTACCCAAAAGAGCCACAGGAGTGTGAATTCATTGTTTCATTTACTGTATAATTCTCAGAGCAAAATGACTGACCATGTATTATTATTTTATTAACTACAACTGCTTAACAACACAGTAAAAGCACCCTGATTGGTTAATAATTAAATCACACACGTCTTAATATCACGTACTGCAAAGAGCTGCAGGAGACGCATTAAGGAGCCACTGGTGACTGGCGAGCCGCAATCTGAGTATCACTGACCTAGATACAAAGGCATGTTAGCAAGGACATTTTGTCCTGTGAGGTTTTGGGCACCCAGCCTGCGATGCTCTGTATCCTCAGGAGATTGTGGGGCAGATATTTCCATCCCTGGGTTCTTTCTTACAAGGCTACTCCCAGAGGGCGGTGACCCCAGCTGCGTGTGGCAATTGCACATCCCTACCTGTTCTAGGCAGCTCCGACATGTTTCCTGGATGAGCTGCTCTGGGTCCACCTCCTCCCCGACGTTCTCTCTCACGTTAACTGCTGCCTTCTGGAAAAACTGGAAAGGGGCCCAAGAGACGGTTAGAATGATGCTGGCTGCTCTAACCTCTTTCCACAGGGGGCTGCCTCCTTGGAACTAGGCTCTCATCTGCACAAAGTAAGGGGCTGGTGACTCCTGGAGCCACCTCTGCTCATGCTACAACCAAATACCGTATGGTCATCAGGGTCAGCACTGAGCACAAGGGATGCAATCCCATTAGGAAGTTCCATACCCCTTGGTAGCAGACTCCATCCTCTCTGGTCACTCGCTGTTGTCCAGCAGAACTCATTTTTAAAGTTTCATCTTACCTGTGTGCATTTCGACTCCTCCAGAAGGGACTGGGAGCTCTCCGAGTGTGACCCTTTCAGGATTAGACTGAGCAGCACTCACCTGCCCTTCTTACCCAGTTCACAAGGTTATGTTGTGTATGTAAAGAGGGCTACAGGGCTGGGGTTTCACTGGGTCAGTGCCTAACAGCACAGGCTGGAGGTAGAAGGCTGATGTCCGCCCAAGAGATTTCCCTTTCCTAATGAGCTTTTACCTTCATGTATTTATTGAAGACAATCTGGATCTCCTCGTTGATACTAGGCTGCAGAACAGCTCGCAGCAAATCCATGGAGACGGCAGGATCTGTAAAACTGAACACGAGATAAATTACTCCACCCACCCTTACTGCCACACCCAGCTCAGAAAATCCCCAGGCCCAGAATCCCACTCGACAATGCTGTCCCAAATGTTCTCACCCACATGGATGTCCACCAGAGTTTACAGACCTCTACAAAGGACACAACTCTAACAACACAGGCTGCAAGCTTATTTCCACTCCAAACCTAGCAGCAGAATTACCCACTGACTCCAAACCTAGATCTCCCAACAGAAAAGAAGTGCTGGATACAATACCCCTCTGAATTCATCACTGCTTGAAGCATCAGCTAGAGAGGAGCGTCGTTTGCAAGTGATGTAAAAGTATAACTGGGTTCAAAGAAGAACTAGATAAGTTCCTGGAGAACATGTCCATCAGTGGCTATTAGCCAAGATGGTCAGGGACCCAACTTCACACTCTGGATATCCCTAAACCTCTGATTGCCAGAAGCTGGGATTGGATGACGAGGATGGATCACTTGATGATTTCTCTGTTCATTGCCAGGTACCCCAGAGGTATCGGCCACTGTTGGAAGCCAGGATAATGGGCTAGATGGACCATTGGTTTGACGCAGTACGACCGTTCTTATGCTCTTTTGAACCTCTACTTCACCAGGATTGCACAAGCTGCTGAGCCAGTGACCTGAGCTACCACTAGACCCCAGGACATCTCACAGTGACCACCACCACTTAGCAATTGTAGAGCATTTCAGTCTTCAAAGAACTGTACGCACATTACTTCCCTGGGTACAGACAGAGAAACCAAGACCGAGATCAGCAAAATGCCTTGCTCAGCACCGCACAGGGAGTTAATGGCAGAGCCAGGATTAGAATTTCCGAGTTCCTATACCCTGTGCCTTTGCTCAGTCCTCTAGACAATGTTGCTTCTTCCTGGTATTAAACCCCATGTGCTTGGGTTTAATCCTATTGTTTAGCGGGTCTGGTGGGTGTCAGAGGAGGCTCTTTTGAACTGCCTGAGACAAGATAATCCCCGAGTGCCTGCACAACTCGGGATGCAGTGACTTGACACGCCAGAGACCCTTCAGGGAGCCCAAGCATCTCCAGCAGCAGCCAGCCTGCCAGGAGTGCCCTGTGTCTGGATGCGCAAGGCTGGGCACCTCCTGTCAGCACCCCAAAGTGACGGTCCCAGCTCTGGGCGCAGCTTGTACCTTGTTGTCATCTGCGAGCGCCGACCCCGCCGCTGCACCTGCCGGTGCTTGATCATGATGTTCCAGGGGCTCTGCAGGGAGGAGGAGCAGAGGGGGGGTTGCAGCGAGCAGGGCCCAGAGAGGGGCCCCCCGCCCACCTCAGGGCCCCGGCGGGGGGGGGGCACAGATGCCTCCCCTAGATCGAGCGGGGGCGCTCTGGGCTGTCAGGCAAATCCTACAGGCCGCCCCGAGAGCGGGGGCCGCCCAGCGCCTGCCCCGCCCGGCCCGGCCCGGCCCGGGGCGCCCCGGGCTCTGCCTTACGGCGCCAACCGGGCGGGAGCGGGGCCGGGCCGGGCGGCTCCGCCCCGCCGGCTCTCACCGTGCTCACCAGCTGCCCGTCCCCCTCCTCCGGGCCCCCTTCCCCCGGCGGCCCCGGCTGCTGCTCGGGATCCCGGGCGGCCCCCATCCCGGCTCGAGCAGCGCCCCCGACCCGCCGCACCGGAAGGAGCGGGACTGACCTGACGTCATCACACCTGCGACGCACTCGCCAGTAGGAAGCGCGACGGGCTGCTATGGCAACCGGGCCGCCATCTTGTTCGGGGGGGGGGCTGAGTCCCAGTCGGTGCTGAGGGGCTCTGGCCATCCCCCGGCCCGCGGGGGCAGCGAGCCTGAGGCGCCCGGCCCGGCCCGTCCGAGCGCGGACCGGCCAACGCGCCGCTAGTGGCGGGGACCGGGAGCCCGGCTAGGGAAGCGCAGGTGCTGCTCGCTGCGGGAGCCCGGGCAAGGCCCCTAGACCCCTGTTCGGACAGGCTGGGAGTGACCGAGGGCCTGTGGCCCGTTCGGGCGCCGCGTCTGGCAAACAGGCCGGGGCACCATCCCTGCCAAGCTGGCTAGTGCCCATGGATGGGCCCGGCCCCAGGACCTGACCCCGGCCTTACCGACCCCTGGCACGGCCTTGGCCTTCACAACAGCCTCTGGCAACGAGCTCCGCGGGGCGACTGCGCCTTGTCCTCTGGTTTGCTTTAACCTGCTGCCTGTTCCTTTCAGTGGGTGACCCCTGGTTCTTGTGTTACGAGGAGGAGTAAATAACACTCCCTTATTGACTTTCTCCACCGCACTCATGATTTTATAGACCTCTCTCAGATCCCCTCTTAGTCGCCTCTTTTCCAAGCTGAAAAGTCCCAGTCTTATTAATCTTCTCTCATACAGAAGCTGTTCCACACCCCTAATCATTTTTGTTGCCCTTTTCTGAACCTTTTCCAATCCAATATCTCTTTTTTGAGATGGGGCGACCACATCTGCACACAGTATTCAAGATGTGGGTGTACCATGGATTTATATAGAGGCAACATGATATTTTCTGTCCTATTATCTGTCCCTTTCTTAATCATTCTGTTCGCTTTTTTGACTGCCACTGCACATTCAATGGATGTTTTCAGAGAACTACCCACAATGACTCCAAGATCTCTTTCTTGAGTGGTAACCCCTAATTTAGACCCCATCATTTTATATGTATAGTTGGGATTATGTTTTCCAGTGTGCATTGCTTTGCATTTATCAACACTGAATTTCATCTGCCATTTTGTTGCCCAGTCACCCAGTTTTGTGAGATCTCTTTGTAGCTCTTCGCAGTCTGCCTGGGACTTAACTATCTTCAGTAGTTTTGTATCATCTGCAAATTTTGCCACCTCACTGTTTAGTTCTTTTTCCAGATCACTTATGAATATATTGAATAGGACTGAACCCACTACAGATCCCTCCGGGACACCACTATTTACCTCTCTCCATTCTGAAAACTCACCATTGATTCCTACCCTTTGTTTCCTATCTTTTAACCAGTTACCAATCCATATGTTATGCTGGATTTAGAATAATAGAATATTAGAGACCTCAGGAGGTATCTAGTCCAATCCCCTGCTCAAAGCAGGACCAACACCAACTAAATCATCCCAGCCAGGGCTTTGTCAAGACGGGCCTTAAAAACCTCTAAGGATGGAGATTCCACCACCTCCCTAGGGAACCCATTCCAGTGCTTCACCACCCTCCTAGTGACATAGTGTTTCCTTATATCCAACCTGGACCTCCCCTACTGCAACTTGAGACCATTGCTCCTTGTTCTGTCAGCTGCAACCACTGAGAACAGCCGATCTCCATCCTCTTTGGAACCCCCCGCTTCAGGTAGTTGAAGGCTGCTGTCAAATCCCCCCTCATTCTTCTGCAGACTAAATAACCCCAGTTCCCTCAGCCTCTCCTCATAAGTCATGTGCTCCAGCCCCCTAATCATTTTTGTTGCCCTCCGCTGGACTCTCTTCAATTTATCCACATCCCTTCTGTAGTGGCGGGACCAAAACTGGACGCAATACTCCAGGTGTGGCCTCACCAGTGCCGAATAGAGGGGAATAATCACTTCCCTCGATCTGCTGGCAATGCTCCTACTAACTAACTTCTTGTTAACATCTGGAAATGCAGGCAGCCAGGGTGCAGTCTATGTTACTGTGCCACGGCCCGTGCCCAGCATGCTGGGCAGCTAATGAGAAGCAGCTGGCTCCACCTCAACCCCTCCGGATGCCCTTTAAACAACACAGATCTTGATTTTCAAATGTATGTGCGGCACTGCCTGTTTTGTATGCGTGTGTGCATGAAAATCCAGGATTTTGCATCAGAATTTGCAGGCACACATTTGGCAGCAGATATTGTAGATCTATCCTGGGACACAAGAAGGATTTTGGACACGGTGTAAGCTGCTGCACTTGGAATCCAGTGCCATTCAAAGATCATCCTTACAAGCTCCCCACAGATCAGTCTGGGGGAAATTTGGCACTTGAAATTTACATAAGATTATTTTTAAATCAAGCAAATTACCAGGATCTTCTTTCTGTCAACCCAAAAGGGGCTTATAAAGAAGACAACATGAACTGGAGAATGTGTGCTGTGGTTATTTGTCATCTCTCCCACTTCCTGTCTGGTGCTGGTTCCATAAAGCAGCTAGGTGTTAAACTGCCTATAGATTTGCTCAGAGGAGCATGAGAGTATAACCCATATTTAGAGCAGCTGCAGAGACCTTTACAATCATTTACAGTCCTTGAAATATGTATTTGCTAAAGCAGCAAAATACAAATAAATAAACCAAGAAGAGAGAAAAGTGGATTGAAACTGCAGTTTAGTGTGCAGATGAAACAAAAATATGTCATGGGGAGTTAATGAAGAGGAAGTCCAGCCCTTAGAACTTGCCTGACTATTTAAATATTTTAAATCTTATACTACATGAAGAAACAGTCTTTCTCCACAAGGTCATTTGTACTAAACCTTTAAAAACTTAAGTATATACAAAGAAAAAAACTTAGATGTCCAAAATTGTACACAGCTGTAACTGCTGAATTTACAAGAACAACGGGATGTTTTGTCTAGTAAAATATTCCCCATTAAGATAGCTTTAAACTTGAAAAATACAAGAAAAATTGTACTATTAATTCCAAATCAGGAATAGAGGGATCTTGTAAAGATTGGATTTGGTATCTAACTCAGTTCACCCTATGGATGTCAGAGGGACCACAATTGTAGACATTAACCCATTTGCTTCATCATATCATCAGTAAATATTTCCCTCATTCCATCTAAAATAAGCTGGAATTTAACTGGGAAAAAAAGTTGTTGCAGCTCCAATCCTCCATTGGGAGCTGGAGCTTGTCATCTCTTCTGCACCTCCCTCACCAACCGGATGAACATGAAAGATGTTTCTCTTCTGTCTTGTAATCTGATTTAAAACTTCATCTTGATCAGTTACAAAGCGGAGCACAGTCAGAAGGGTTCAACATATGCATTTATGAACTAAACTTTTTTGCTTCAATAAAGGTTTGGATATAGGCAAACAAAAGCCCTTTCTATTGATTTGGTTAGGTGAAACTTTACCATTTCTTCTAGTAAAGTGAGCCAAGTGATGGGAGGATTCTCTCTTTCAGACTCTTCATTCAGGCCTAGTTCACAGATGGTGGACTTCTCCAAAGCCTCCAGCCTACAATATAAAGGAACATTACCGTGTATTATATTGTATTATATTGTTTGACAAAGATTTACTAATTTGTGGCCAGATTTTATCTGCCTATGCTTATATTTTATCTATCAGCATGCATTAAAATAGCACCCAAAGACATCAATCAGAATTGGCACCCCCGTGTACTGTGGCGCTTTTCATACATACAGGAAAAAACTGTCTTTGTCCCTGAAGAGTTTACAGTCTAAGACAAGACACAGGAAGTGAGTGTGATGAACAAGAGGAGAGAAGTGGGAAGGAAAGCCAAGGCTAGTAATAAGCTCATACTGGTACATAGGTTCACTGGAGGTTTGAGCCTGTATCCATTGAAGTCAATGGGAGTGTTGTCCTTGATTTAATTGGGTCAGGATTAGGCATTTCGTGGGTAATGTGATTGAAATAATTAGAAAGTTTTCCCCCCACAAACAATCAGTCAATATCAGCTCTTCCTAAGCACCCTTCAACATGGTCATCGTTGACTGGCTGGTTGCTGGACGATATCCCAGCAGAAGTGTGGATGAGGAGTCCGAGAGAGGAGAATGTGTTGGCCTTACGGATCAGTTCTGTATGTAGTGAGCAACATGGAGGGAGCATGAAACCCTTCTTGGGAGGAGCAGAGCAATGGCTGCCCAAGTCTGAAAGGACGAAATAATGGCCCTAGGAGTGTGAGTGGGGAGATGCTCGGTTACAATTTAATAAATTCCTTATCACAATCTGATGAACTTGTGACTCATTTCTCTGCCCCTGTGCTTAGGCAGTGTGGCATTTAGGGTTCTAGCTAGTACGTCGTATTGTGTAGCAGGGTTTGATGAAGAGCCAGCTTTCATTTTCTGCAAAGCCAAGCCCACTTGTTTCCATTTACTAGAACAGGAAGCTTAGAGGGCACAAGTACTCCTGCGACTGCAAGCTGCCCAGACCATGGAGGTCCTGCACTTAGGTGAGTCCTCGTTAGGTATTTATTCATCACCTTCGTATTTCTTTCTCTTGTTGGCAGTGTTCCGTGCCAGGAGGGTGGGGAGTGTGTTCTGCAACAGGCTCTGTGTTCCAGCAACGTGAGGGCCTGACAGGGAAGCAGACCAGGCCAATGTTAGGTAGAATTCCCTAGGGCGGGGTTTCTCAAACTTCATTGCACCATGACCACCTTCTGACAACAAAAATGACTCCATGGCTCCAGGAGGGGGGACCCTCACCCAAACCCTGCTGCCCAGGGGGTGGGAAGGGGGTGGCGGTGGCAAAGCCCGAGCCCCACCGCCCCAGGCAGGGGCGGGGGAAGGAGGGGCAAAGCCGAAACCCAAGGGCTGAAGCTCCGGGGAGGGGGGCCCTGTAACCTGAGCCCCGCTGCCCAGGGCTGAAGCCACTGGGCTTCAGCTTTGGCCCCGGGCAGTTGAACTTGGGCTTTGGCCCCAGGCCCCAGCAAGTCTAAGCCAGCCCCGGTGACCCCATTAAAACGGGGTCACCGCGACCCACTTTGGGGTCCCAACCCACAGTTTGAGAACCGCTACCCTACGGGATTGTGAGTCGGGTGGCTTATTTGTACATTCCAGGGGGAATGTTATTACTTGTCTGAGTGGCTGTAATTTGGGAGTGGAATTTATTCTTAAACCCAAATTCAATCAGAGCCTCTCCTCTAATAGCCTCCTCTCTTATTATTGTTTTATTTGCATCCTGGCAGTACCAATAATATGCCAGATACATGGGGAGACACATCCTCTGCCCCAGATGTCGCCTAAAGAAGGATGCAAGATGATTTTGTGGTTAAAATTATTTAGATTCTGTTCCTGGCTCTACAACAGGCTCGCTCTGAGACCTTGGGCAAGTTGCTTAATCTCGCTGCCTCAATATTCCCACCTGGAAAATGGGGATAATACTTTCCTACTTCCAGTGAGGTTGAGACTAAATACATTAATGTTTGTGATGTGTTCAAGGCTCTATGATCACAAAAACCCTACCCTACAGAGCTCTTAGCGCATGGTAGCAGGGTCTATGTAGCCAGTTAGTGCATGGCAAGCTAGTGTGCTGTAGATTTGCACCCTGACCTGCCATTCACTCTGGGGAGTCTACATTTTGAGTTGGAGGGATGATTCTCAGCTCAAGGAGACATACCCACGCTAGCTCTGATCAAGCTCGCGCACTAAAAATAGAGCATAGGTGCAGCGGCATGAGCGTCAGGAAGGGCTAGCTGCTCTGAATGTGATCCTCCTGAGACACTAGGTGCATACTCCGAGTAGCTAACCCCACTCCCTGCTTGTTCCGCTGTGGCTACGCTCTATTTTTCATACGTTAGCTCGCTCTGAGCTAGTGTAGGCCTGACTCCTTGAGCTGGGAATTTACACCTCTAGCTCAAAGTGTAGACATACTCTAAGCCTCTTGGTAGACAAGACCCAAGACACAATTCCTTGCTCCGCTACAGACTTCCTGTGTGACCTTGTGCATGTCATATAGTCTCTGTGAAATGAGAATAATGGTACTTGCGTACCTCATAGGGATGTTGTGAGGATAAATCACTTAACGATTGAGACGTGCTCAGAGACTACGGCAATAGGGGCCATCTATGATACTCGCTTCTATGAAGTGCTTCCAAGGGCTGTCAGAGAAGTGATTGCTTTCTCGTTCATTCTCCCCGGCATCTGAGACTCCTGTGTTATGATCCTATAGTGTGACTCAAACAGATTCATTGAAGCAGAGCATCTGAAGGACTATGTAGAATTCCATGCCTCTGGCTTGAGAGGATGCAACGGCTCTCTTTCCTACTAGTTTTGAACCTTTTTGTTTATTGTTTTACTAAGGCCTTGTCTACACTAGACGGTGTTTGTAGTATAGCTATACCAGTTTAGCTATATCAGCAAACCCTCCTAGTGGACATACAGCTTATATTGGCAAAAGATATAAGCCAGTATATTGCCAGTATACTTTGTATTTAGTCCCTGAACAAAATAAGCTATATCAGCAAAATGACTTTTTTGCTGGCATAACTGTGTCTGGAGCTGTTGCTCGCATAGCGATGTCAGTTAGAGGTGTGATTTTTTTCACAACTCTAACTGACATAGCTATGTCATAAGAACGGCCGTACTGGGTCAGACCAAAGGTTCATCGAGCCCAGTGTCCTGTCTGCCGACAGTGGCCAATGACAGGTGCCCCAGAGGGAATGAAGAGAACAGATAATCATCAAGTGATCCATCCCATCACTCATTCCCAACTTCTGGCAAACAGAGGCTAGGGACATCATCCCTGCCCATCCTGGCTAATAGCCATTGATGGACCTATCCTCCATGAATGTATCTAGTTCTTTTTTTAACCCTGTTATAGTCTTAGCCTTCACAACATCCTCTGGCAACAAGTTCCACAGGTTGACTGTGCATTGTGTGAAGACACACTTCCTTTTGTTTGTTTTAAACCTGCTGTCTATTAATTTCATTTGGTGACCCCTAGTTCTTGTGTTATGAGAAGGAGTAAATAACACTTCCTTATTTACTTTCTCCACACCAGTCATGATTTTATAGACCTCTTGTCACAGAGTTTGCGGGAGACAAGGCCCTGCACCCCCGGCTTCCTGCGATTCACCATGACTCTCAGCCAGCCAATAAAGCAGAAGGTTTATTTAGATGACAGGAACACAGTCCAAGACAGGTCTTGCAGGTACAGACAACAGAACCTGCTCAGTTAGGTCCATCTTGGAGGGCCAGGGAGGCCAGAGCCCTGTCTGGGCTCCCCTCCATGTTACCAGCCAGCTCCAAACTGCAAACTCTCCATCCCCTCCTCTCCCTTTGTCTCTTTCCCGGGCCAGGAGGTCACCTGATCTCTTTGTTCTCCAACACCTTCAGTTGGCACCTTTGCAGAGGAGGGGCCCAGGCCATCAGTTGCCAGGAGACAGGGTGTCGGCCATTCTCTGTGCAGACAGCATCACACTGGCCCCCTAGGGCTCTGCAACAATCACACACCCCTAGACACTCAAGAAATGCCTAGGGGAAACTGAGGCACCCACACAGCACTCAGAGAAAACATTAAGAACATTCCCACTTCATCACACCTCTATCATATCACCACGTAGTCATTTCTTGGCCAAGCTGAAAAGTCCCAATCTTATTAATCTCTCCTCATACGGAAGCTGTTCCATACCCCTAATTCCAATTTTAATGTCTTTCTTGAGATGGGCTGACCACATCTGCACACAGTATTCAAGATGTGGGCGTACCATGGATTTATATAGAGGCAATATGATATTTTCTGTCTTATTATCTATCTATCTATCTATCTATCTATCTATCTATCTATCTTCCTTCATGATTCCCAACATTCTGTTAGCCAGCAAAACTTTTAAGTGTAGACCAGCCCTAAGTACATGTCAGCTGTTCGTGGCTGCCACATAGAAGACTAGACTGGGTCAAGAGACCCAAACTCTTAGCTCACCTAGAAGTGAATAAGTGTCCATGGGACACTGGCCATGCTGAGAGCATTTTAATAAGTATTTTGATACAGGTAAGAAAAGGAAGAAAACAAAACAAAAATCAAGTTAGGCGCTTAAATAAAATTGGCCTGATTTTCAGATATCAGAGGGGTAGCCGTGTTAGTCTGAATCTGTAAAAAGCAACAGAAGGTCCTGTGGCACCTTTGAGACTAACAGAAGTACTGGGAGTATAAGCTTTCGTGGGTAAGAACCTCACTTCTTGCATCTGAAGAAGTGAGGTTCTTACCCACGAAAGCTTATACTCCCAGTAC